ATATATATATATATATATATATATATATATATATATATATATATATATATATATATATATATATATATATGTGTGTATATATATATATATGTGGGGATATATATATAAACTCAAAAACACTGTTGCTCAAAAACACATCTTTCACTTTTCTATATCGTAGTATAACTAAAAGAGTCTAATAAGGGCAGAGCAAACCATTACAAACAAGAGGAGGGGTGAAATCAACAAATGTGCCCAACTAAACAAACATGTAAACTGTACATGAATTAGAGCACTATTATTAAATCATAATAAACCTAAATATGGCTCACAAACATGTTTAGAATCTGCTTGACATACATTGACAGTTAATTTGTCATGGTAGCAACTGCTGTTAATGGCATTGAATTCCTCACTTAAATGTGGGCAAGTCTAAAAGTGTGAGAAAAAGAAAAAAAAAATCAAAACCCTTCATATATTTGTAGTGTCATTTTAAAATCGAACAAAGTTATATACGTTATCAGCCACACAAACACTAACAAAAACAGACAATCAAAATGCATTGAGAATTGCACAAGTACATAGAATTATCCTCCAACTATGGCAAATGAGATGATGATCAAGCATATATGGCCTCAAAATGAGGAGGAGGTTGTTCATAAGTCAACTGCACATTTATAAAAAATAAAATAATAACACTGGCTTGAGTACAGTTGTAAGTAGACCATGAATGGACTCAGCACACAGCTTTGAGACACCAGTGCTTAGCAGAAGAAAGATCAGAACAGAGCTTAATAAACCACAGACAATGACAACATTCTGTAATGCAGAAGCAGATGTGTGAGTGATGACGCACGTTCCTGATGAATATTACTGGTGTTAAAAACAGAGCTGAAGTTAATGAAATGTCTGAACTTTTGTATGCTGTTGTTCCAGGTAATCCTGTACTCTATGTAGAGCAGTAATAATTAAATGCTGCATGGATCAGTTTGCAAAGCGATATGCATTGTAGATATTTTCCCCGCATATTTTCCATTACTGCATTTACTTAGTTTTTAATTTACTTCAGATCAGTCAGCTGCATGACCTAAGATCATGTGCCACTCAAACTTTGCGAAAATAAAAATTTATTAACTTGGCAGAATTGCATCAATCTTTGAGTTTGTGAAAAGCATTGTGTTCTGATGACAGTTCACTGCACTCCAATACTGCCCAGATTTCCAAAATCACAGACTCTGTTGTCAGTGGGCCTCAAACAGATCAGACACTTTCTGGCGTTTTAGTTTCCCCCAGTGCCACACATTTGTTCTCATACTCAATCATTGGTTTGACATGTTCACAAACTGCTGCTTGGAGCCTGTTGCAGTTAGATTTGTCCTAAAATGAAGTTCTGGCAGTATCAAAGGTTTCACACACTTTCCTGCAGAGTATCAACAGCTGAG